AGGTGTAGGAAAAAAAATGAACATGTTGAGATGAGAAAAGAAGATAGATATAAAAAAAGAACCAAATAGAACTTTCAGATATAAAAAAAAAATCTAAAATGAGAAAAATCACAAAATGAGATTAAGAGCATATTAGACACTGCAAAAGAAGAGATTAATGAATTTGAATACAGAGCAATAAAACTATCCAAAATTAAGCACGCTAAGATAAAAATATAGGGAAAAAATGAAAACAGCATCAGTGACTCTCTGGGACAATACTAAGAAGACTAACATGTGAAACTTGATCTCCAGGAAGAGTAGAGAGTGTATTTGATAAATAAGATAAAAAGGGAATTTGTTGGCCTATAAAACTAAGCGGTGCACCATTAGGCCCGCTACATTTAAGTGCTCAAAAGATGACAGGAATATGCCTGTTTCTTCTTTCATTTTGGCTTTCTCCTGATTTTTGGCTTCATTCTCTAAGAAGGCTGTCTCCACGAGACAAAACATGGCCTTTAATATTCTTGTATTTATTCCTTTTTATTATCCATACCAGTAGAGGACTGCTCCTTCCCAGTGTGTATGAATCAGAAATCCAGAGGACTCTGATTGGCCCAAGGTGAATCAAGTACTCACCAACAAATAATTCTTTTTGTCAGAAGAGTGAAGAATCGTAGCTGGTGCAACTTGGATTAGGTATCGCGCTATGCAGACTCATATTTGATAGCTTGCAGGACCATGGGGAATGGGGCCAGGAAATCTCTCCAAAGGTTATAAGGCTGCTAGGTGAATAGAAATAACAGATGTTCGTAACATTACCTGTTAGATTTAGCTGCATCAAGATGGACATTTTAGTCACACTGGTTCTCAATTAAATACCCCAACACTGAATTTAGTAATGCATTTCTTAGTGCTTTGTGCCATTACATGTATTATTGTGTTGAATCTGTTATTGAGCTCTTATAAACTTTTCCCTGAAGCTGGATATTAAGTGCCTAGAGAACAGAGACCATGTCTCATATATTTTTAATCTCTCCCAATGGCTGGCAGAGTGTCTCTCAAATGGTAGCAGAATAAATGTTTGTTTTGATGAATTTGTTGCAGGGACTAGTCAAATGCTCCCATTAAGCTGAGGAGAAATTAGATTGAGTAAATACCCTTAGTCTGTGCCATCATGAAAGAATAAAGTGTTCATTAAAAGCTAATTGGTAAGCAATTTGCAAATGAAAAACTGGTTTCTTTCTTTTTTCTCTCTTTCTTATCAGGATCGCCAAAGCTGTGATGAAAATACCAGGGGCAAAGAGGTAGATTTTTACATTTACATTTGACATTTCTTGCTGCTTAGAATCTTTGGGCTCAAAAAGAGCATGTGGGTGTGTATATAATGGAATTTGATGGATACTTAAAATCTCTCTTTCCTAATATATCCTTCCTGGTATCTTGAAAATTCATCAATTCAAAGTCAAGTATTTTGAATTAAGATACTGTGTTTTCTCCAGACCCCTTTACAATGCAACACCCAAGAAGGGGAAATGTTATTATCCATTAATGTCTTTGCCTAAATTTGTTTCTCCAAGGTAGTTTTGGTTACTTATCAGAGCCCTGAGGGAAGGAGTGAATGGCAGGGAATGTTCTGGGAAAGATGGGGATGAGGGCCTGTGTAATGCCCTTGATTTCGAATCCGAGAGACCACCAAGGACCCGATACCTATGCAAACGCACGAGGGTTTATTTGCAAGCTCGAGCTTGGGCCCAAGTATACCCGACACAGCGGGAGCAGGGACTTGGACCCCTAGGTTAAGAGGCATAGCTGTTTTATAGGGGCCAGTGGCCAATGAGATTGTAACACACACAGCAAGTTGCATAGTCATGTTAGTCCACACGCAGGGGCCGATTACCCTATAGTAACTGTTTGAACTAGCCTATCACTCTGGTCAGAATTGGCGCACGAGTTTGGCAGGCAAAAGGCGGGGGTTTAAGAATTGGTGTTCAAGTTTGGCTGGCAAAAGGGGGGTTTACATTCTTTGGCGGTTGGTGTTCCGCATTCCTATATGAGCCGGTTTCCAGTAAGGGTGTGCTCAGCGGCTTGACTAGGGTGGGGGAGTGTCTTAAGCAATAAGTAGGTCATGTGGGGGTTATACATGAGATGGTGGGTGTAGCACAAAATGGAGTTAGTTTTGCTCTGCTTGTCCAGGGGTAGGGGATTTTTGTTAAATTCCTTAGGTCCCACATTCCCCCCTTTTCCAGAGGATCCTATGCAGGACCCAATCATGGGTTAGAGCTTGGGGTGATGATTTGCCAGGTTAGATTAAGTGGTTGGTGGGGGTTGGGGTTGGGTTTAGCCACCAGGGGATACAGCGCAAGTAATATTAGTGGGGTATAGGGCGCCTGGGTGGCGCAGTCGGTTAAGCGTCCGACTTCAGCCAGGTCACGATCTCGCGGTCCGTGAGTTCGAGCCCCGCGTCAGGCTCTGGGCTGATGGCTCAGAGCCTGGAGCCTGTTTCCGATTCTGTGTCTCCCTCTCTCTCTGCCCCTCCCCCATTCATGCTGTCTCTCTCTGTCCCAAAAATAAATAAAAAACGTTGAAAAAAAAATTAAAAAAAAAATATTAGTGGGGTAAGTGGGAGCGACACAGCCTTAGCTTTAAGGGATTGTCCTTGTCGGGCTGACTCTTCCATTCCGGAACAAAGTCCTTGAGGACGGCGTGTGGATCAATTGGCCGGACGTGGGTGTAGTGGACCCAGGGAGTTATTCTGTTGACCTTGAGAGCAGTGGGCGTGGTCAGGATCGCCATGTAGGGTCCTTTCCAGCGAGGTTGGAGTGTCTGCTGTTGGTGCCTCCGCACGTACACCCATTCGCCTGGTCGATACCAACGGGGGTCAGGAGGTGGGCCGGTCTTGTAGAGGGCCTTCAGCTTAGGCCACACCTGCTCATGGGCCCTTTGTAACATTTGGAGGGAGAAAAGAAGCTGTTGGTCATTGAACTCACCAAGCACTTCGGGTTTCAAGGCAGGAACGATAGGTGGGGGTATACCAAACATGATTTCGTAGGGAGTCAGTCCCATCTTATATGGTGAGTTTCTCACCCTATATAGGGCAAAGGGGAGGAGAGTGACCCAGTCCCCACCAGTCTCCAAGGCTAATTTAGTTAAGGTCTCTTTTAATATCCTATTTATCCTCTCTACCTGACCTGAGCTCTGGGGTCTGTGAGCACAATGTAATTTCCAATCTGCCCCCAGTATTTGTGCTACTCCCTGTGTTACCTTAGAAATGAACCCCAGTCCATTGTCGGATCCAATGCCTGGCAGGAAATCCATACCTTGGCAGAATGTCCTCCAGCAGCTTTTTGGTCATGATTTGCGCTGTTTCGTGCTTGGTGGGGAATGCCTCTGTCCACCCTGAAAAGGTATCTAGGAAAACTAGCAAGTACTTGTACCCATACTTTCCAGGCCTTACCTCAGTGAAATCTACTTCACACTATGCTCCTGGGCAGTCTCCCCTGAGTCGGGTTCCAGGGTTAGACCCATGGATGGTGGCGTTGGTTAGCTGGCATGCATGACAGCTTGCCACGATCTGCTCCATCTTTGCTCGAGAGTCCTTAATAATGATCTTAGCATGTTGTATGAGGTCTTCCATCTTTCTTGTTCCCATATGAGTACTCCGATGCATTTTGAATAGGACTTGTCATCCTGGTTCCTCTGGCAGGATGATGCTGGAGTCTGCGGCCCTCCACCAGCCACGCAAGCATTGGGTCGTAGGCAAGCGTTTAATCCATTGTAAGTCAGTGCCAGTATAGCTGGGGGCGTCCGGCAGGGTCGGTGCCCCCGGATCGGGTAGCGTGGTTGTTAAAACCTGGGTCACCGAAAGGGCCGCCTCCTTTGCTTTTGAGTCGGCTAGCCGGTTTCCCCTGGCTACTGGTGTGTCTGCTTTTTGGTGTCCTGGACAATGGATGATAGCTAGTGCCTTGGGCAGCCAGAGGGCCCTTAGGAGTTCAAGAATTTCTTTTTGTTTTTAATAGTCTTTCCCTCTGCTGTCAGAAGCCCTCTCTCTCTGTAAAGGGCTCCGCGGATATGAGCGGTGGCAAAGGCGTACCTGCTGTTGGTGTAAATGTTTATTCGTTTACCTTCTTCCCATGGTTAGTGCCTTGGCCAGGATGATCGGTTCTGCCCGTTGAGACAGTGTTCCGGCTGCCAATGGCTCTGCCCAGATGATCTCCGTCTCTGTGGTTACAGCTGCCCCCGCGTATCTGAGGGCAGAAATCAGTTTCTCGGACAAAACTGCTGCCGTCCGTATACCAGGTGGCATCTGCGTTCGGCAGTGGCTGGTCCCGGAGATCAGCCCTGATTCCGTGGACCTGTGCCAAAATCTGTTGACAGTTATGCAGAAGGGGGTCCCAGTCTGGGTTAGGGAGTAGCGTTGCCGGATTCAGGGTTGTAGGTGGCTTGAATAAAATTTCGGTGGGGTTTAGCAGTAGGCTCTGATAATGGGTCAGATGAGCATTACTGATCCAGCAGTCTGGGGGATGTTTGAGTACTCCTTCGATAGCATGTCGGGTGGTAACATATAGCTCTTGCCCCATGGCTAGCTTGTCTGCGTCCTTGACCATAGTGGCCACTGCGGCAATAATTTTTAAGCATGGGGGCCATCCAGCGGCCACTGTGTCCATCTTTTTAGAGAGATAAGCTATGGGTCTTTTCCAGGGACCTATGTACTGGACAAGGACCCCTTTTGCCACCCCGTCTTTCTCGTCTACATATAGGTAGAAGGGCTTGATTAGGTCAGGCAACCCAAGAGCCGAGGCAGACAGCAAGGCCTGTTTAAGGTCATTAAAGGCCTTGTTCATGGCCTCTGTCCATTCAAAATTTTGTTGGTGCCTGGTGGCCTCATAGAGGGGTCTGGCCATCTCAGCAAAACCCGGAATCCATAATCGACAGAACCCTGCCGACCCCAGGAATTCATGTACCTGATGGTCGGTTTGCGGCTGTGGGATCCTTAAGACAGTTTCCTTCCACACATCCGTCAACCATCTTTGTCCATCCTTTAATTTGTACCCCAGGTAGCTCACCTCTGCTCTGCAGATTTGGGCCTTTTTGACTGAGGCCCGGTATCCTAGAGCCGCTATAGTCTGGAGTAAGTCCTTGGTGCCTCACAGGCAAGTGTCCTGGTCCTCTGCCGCCAGCAGGATATCATCTACATATTGCAATAAGGTCAAATGAGGGTGTTCAGAATGGAACTCACCCAAGTCTTCGTGTAAGGCCTCATTGAAGAAGGTTGGTGAGTTTTTGAATCCTTGTGGTAGTCGAGTCCAGGTGAGTTGGCCATTGATGCCTTTCTTGGGGTCCGTCCGTTCAACGGCAAAAAGGTCTTGGCTCTTGGGTGCTAAAGGCAGGCTGAAAAAGGCATCTCTTAAATCTAATACCGTATACCAATTTTTGTCTGGAGGCAAGGTGGAGAGGAGGGTGTATGGGTTTGGGACCGTGGGGTGCACATCCATTACTCGCCGGTTGACTTCACTTAAGTCCTGGACTGGCCTGTAATCGTTAGAGTGCGGTTTTCGCACTGGCAGCAAGGGAGTGTTCCATGCCTATTGGCAGAGCCTTAATATGCCTGAGTCTAGTAGTCGCCGTATGTGGGGCGTGATTCCCGTTCGCACCGCGAGAGGCATAGGGTATTGGCGGACCCTGACAGGGTCGGCCCCTGGTTTTAGTTCTATGTATATAGCTGGTCGGTGTTGGGCCAGCCCAATTCCCCCAGTTTCTGCCCATGCCTGAAGAAATTCCTGTAGCCAATGGTCAATGTCAGTCATTGGGGCTGGGGGCATCTGGTGGAGACGATATTCGTCTTCCAAACTCAGGACAAGCACCTGAATTGGTTGCCCTTCTTTGTCTAGGATTTTTGCCCCTCCGGGGTGGAAGCAAATTTGTGCCTCCATCTTGGTGAGCAAGTCCTGACCTAACAACGGGTAGGGACATTCAGGGATGACCATGAAGGAGTGGGATACCCGGCCCATGCCGAAGTCCACAGTTCTTCGGGTAGTCCATGAGTACTGTTTGGTCCCTGTGGCCCCTTGCACCCATGAGGTCTTGCTCGCCAATTTCCCCTGGGGTTGTAGTAAGACCAAATGTTGTGCCCCAGTGTCCACTAGAAATTCAACTGGTTGCCCCTCCACTCTGAGAGTTACCCTGGGCTCGGGGAGGGGTACCGAACACTGACTCCCCTAGTCGTCCAGGTCCTCCATCTCCAATATCTTGTCAGGGGCCTTAGATCTTTTGTTAGGGCAGTCTTTCACCCAGTGGCCCTCTTCCTTGCGATAAGCACATTGGTTTTTGTTTAGTTTAGGGAGCTCCCATCGGGGACCAGGGCCATCCTCCTTACCTGTCCCTGAAGTCAGCTTCTTGAGGTGCCTCCGTTTTTCCTGTGGGTCATCCATGGTTGTAGCCAGCAGGATCTTAGCCAGATTTCGGTTTTGCCGGTGGCTTAGTTTAGTCTGTTGCTCCTCCGGGCTTTCTCTATTATTGTAAACTCTTTCTGCTACTATTATTAAGTCCTGCAGGCTCTTCTCTCCTAGCCTCTCCACTCTTTGTAATTTCCTTTTGATGTCTGGAGCGGCCTGATTAACAAAAGCCATGATAATTGCGGCTTTTGTTTCTGGGGCTTCTGGGTTCATAGGGGTGTACTGCCTAAAAGCCTCTGTGATTCTCTCTAAGAAGGCTGCTGGACTCTCATCCTTACCTTGTCTTACATCATATACCTTGGCTAGATTAGTAGGCTTTCGTGAGGCAGCCTTGAGACCTGCCATTTAGAGTCTGGCTGTAGACCCGGAGTCTCTCCTTACCTTCAGCCGAGTTGTAGTCCCAGGTAGGGCAGGATAAGGGGAAGGCAGCATTTATGAGGTCTGGGTTTTGAGTCGGCTGTCTGTCCTCTCCCAGGACAGACTTCCGAGCTTCCACTTGTATTCGTTCTCTCTCTTCAGTGGTGAAGAGAACCTGCAAGAGCTGCTGACCGTCATCCCAAGTAGGGTGGTGGGTAAAGAGAACAGTATCTAAAAGCCCAATTAAATCTTTAGGGTTATCGGAGAACTTTGCATTTTGAATTCTCCAATTATATAAATCACTGATGGAGAACGGCTAATATAACATTGGTTGTTCTCCAGACTCATCGGGAGGCCCCATGGCATGGAGGGGAAGGGTGGTGGAGTCGGCCGGCCCCATATTTGAGGGTGGGGCTGTCCGGTGGGTCGGTCTACGTGTCCCTGCTGCTGGCCCTCGCACAGGAATTCTTTCATCAGGGAGCGCTGGTGCCCCTCCTGCAGCCCCTGGTGCTTCCAATGGAGGGGCGGAAGGGGGAGGGGAAGCCTCGTAGGGCAGCGGATGGGTCAGGTCCTCCGGAGAGGAATCCTGCCAGACTGGATAAAGGGGCGTTTTGGCCTTTGTGTCAGTCTCCTTCTCCGCTTTCCGCAGGGCTAGAATCTTGGTAGGTCCTGCTCTGGGGGGTAAGAATGGTGTTAGCCAAGAAGGGGGGTTTTCGATCATGTCCTGCCAGACCAGGATGTAGGGCACCTGGTCAGGGTGGCCGTCCGGTTTGTCCTTGAAGATTATAGCCTTGACCTGCAAAATAATAGGTAGGTGGAAAGTTCCTTCTTGGGGCCACCCCATGTCAAAGTTTGGCCATTCTGACATGCAGTAAGTCTGAAATTTCCCTTTTCTTATGTCTGTGCTCAAATTATGAGCCCTTTCCTTAACGTCCGAGAAGTGGGAGAGCATAAGAGACAGGGGGGTGGTTTGGGTCTGCTCCATTTCATTCCACACCAAGACACAAACAGTTATGAGGATTAACAAGGACATAATAACACAGACAAATGTTCCAGTGCGGCTGCGGAGACAAAACAGAAAATAAAACGAAGGGCTGGCTGTCCGTAATGGCAGCTGGCCCTCCTCACAGATGAGGACTTCGTCCTCCTGGCAGGGGCAAGGGACGTCTCCCAAGACCCCCGGTGGACGGCTTGCCAGCTGTCCACTTAAGCCAATGCCGACCCAAAGACAGTTTGGAATTCCTACAGGTAGAGATACAGTACAGAGCTCTCAGAAAATATGCACGCGAAAGGTAGAAGAAGTTGAGTGCACTCACCAGACGTGGGACCCTCCAGGTGGGGTCTTGGGGGGGGGTCTCTCGAATCCCGGACGAGTCCCCAAATGTAATGCCCCCGATTTCGAATCCGAGAGACCACCAAGGACCCGATACCTATGAAAACGCACAAGGGTTTATTTGCAAGCTCGAGCTTGGGCCCAAGTATACCCAACACAGCAGAGCAGGGACTTGGACCCCTAGGTTAAGAGGCATAGCAGTTTTATAGGGGCCAGTGGCCAATGAGATTGTAACACACACAGAAAGTTGCATAGTCATGTTAGTCCACACTCAGGTGGCCAATTGAATTGAACACAGAAAGTTGCATAGTCATGTTAGTCCACACGCAGGTGGCCAACTGAATTACAATTTACCCTATGGTAACTGTTTGAACTAGCCTATCACTCTGGTCAGAATTGGCAGGTAAGTTTGGTGGGCAAAAGGCGGGATTTAAGAATTGGTGCTCAAGTTTGGCGGGCAAAAGGCGGGGTTTACATTCTTTGGCGGTTGGGGTTCCGCATTCCTATATGAGCGTTTTCCAGTAAGGGTGTGCTCAGCGGCTTGACTAGGGTGGGGGGGTGTCTTAAGCAATAAGTAGGTCATGTGGGGGTTATACATGAGATGGTAGGTGTAGCACAAAATGGAGTTAGTCTTGTTCTGTTTGTCCAGGGGTAGGGGATTTTTGTTAAATTCCTCGGGTCCCACAGCCTGTGGATGTTGGGCTAGTCTGGGGGGGATGACAGAACCCCAGTGCTTCAGGTGCTCTGAAGAGCTAGGGGAAAACGTGCATTTTAGACATCAAGGGACACATTTTCAAAAAGAACATGAAAAGGTGACTGGGAAGGTGCTCCAATTACCACTCTTGTGTAGACGAAGATGCTTTTCCTCTAAGTACAGCTATGATGGGGAAAACAAAACTAAAACAAAGCAAAAACAAAAGCACAGGGAAAAATGTGGGCTTGGTTACCTCATTCTAAGACAATTACCATCTGGTCACAGGTGGCTCTGCATGCCCCACCTCCCTGGTCCCACCTGCCTTGGATACTCAGGTCTGGGCACTCATCTTCCTACTTGTTTCTGTCAACCTTTAGTCCCTGTAGCCTTATAGGCTGGAGGCAGAGTTTCAATTTTATAGGCCATGATACCATATTCACTCAGTCAATTTCAGAGATTTTAAGCTGGAAAAAAAAGCCTGTGTCTCAGAGTTCAAAAAATATAGTAATAAGTAACAATAGGAGGAATTGGGCTGGTGGACTTACTTGGGTAGATAAACTCTTTCCTAGCGGAGAGCTCTCACATAATCACAGCTAAGTCAGGCACACAGCAGATCCCCTACCTCCCAAGTGTAACAGGCAGTTTGCTCACAGGGGCGCTAGAAACAAAGTACTAGGTATGTGCTGTGCTTGGGTCACACTGGATTTCTGCAACCCAGAGGCTCATGCTTTCCAGGCCCAGTGCAGAGCTTCCAAATCAAGCTTGCATTAGCAAACTTCAAAGCTCGGACCTAGCAACATTTAAAGACAGGCAATACCTCCCTGACATGGTGATTAGATTCACCTATCAAGAGGAGAGGAAATGAGGCACCTCTGGCAGTGTCTCAATTTTTCTGGGCTGGCTCCCTGATAATCATGGAATATTCAGTCGGTATTACTAAGTGATCTCATTCCATCTTAACCACCTATTTGGCGACATTGCATACTGTGTTCCTCATTTCTGCAGTGTCTTTTGCCCTCATTTGTAAATAGCTTTCAGAAACCTGAAATGAAATTGCATTTACTTTTCCTTTCCCTCCATCAGTCTGAGTCAGCTTCCCTTGGAATCAGCTGTGCCTTCTGGCCCTTTTAAGGAATCATTATTTTCATGGAGGAGAAAAATGGTCACTCTGCAGGGTGCTGTGGAATGTAAAGGGGACTGAGGGGGAAGGCGAGCATGAAGCCACCCTCCCCACCCTCTTCAGTGAGCTCATTTCCCCCACTCCTTTAGGTATAAAAATGTGCACCTGCTCAGTTGCCTTAGATTTAAAATGCTTACATATAATTTCTTGCACACATTTTAATCTGGTTAGCACTGGGCCTAGAGAAGGACCCATTCCTTTCCCTGATCCATAGTAGCTTCACTCTCTAAATTGTTTCCTCCCTTGCATGTCTCAGATACTCATAGTAGCCTTGCACAATTTCAGCTCAGAACAGAGGCAAGGAAATCACCAAGGTAACACTGGCAGTCTACACTGCAGTTTTGTTTTGTTTTTTAATAGAAATAACAAGCAGATAGGCTGTTCTTTGTTAATGTCTCTAATAGGCTAAAAGTGTCCAAACTTCTGCTTTTTCTTAAGCTAATAGGAAATTTAACCTGAGCCACAAGGGAGGAGAAACAGATCTGTAAGCAGCATTGCTCAACAGAAGCTGTGCAAAGCCAACCAAAGGGCTTTCTCTACTGTGGATCTCAGGTCTCAGCAGATCTCAGGTTCTCTTAAATGCAAGGTTTAACCAAAGTTTCTAAACAAAGGGCCCATTAGGAATATTTGCACAATCTCTGTTTCAGATGTTTGACCCCAAGGCTTTTGTTTACTGAATTTGCTGAAGCAGTAAGCACCTGGCATATCAAAAGCAACAGTTGCCTCTGTTCTGGTTTCCGGTAGGAGCAACATGACCCTTTTGCCCTCTAATTTCCCCAGGTTCTCTGCATCTTTCTGCCTCTACTTGTCCTGTGCCCACTTTTCTCAAACGTCCTCACCTTTCCTCTGCCCTTCCCACTTCTATCCAGATGGACCCTTCTGATGGATGTCCCATTCTTTCAGGGTCTTGTCCTCTCCTTTTCAAGTAGACAAAGGTAACAACGTTACTCCCCAGTAACCTCTCAGGATAGGTTATATTATGAGGAAGCTCTTAAGAATTTATAGGTTGGCCTGTGGGAAGAATGCAGTGTTAGATGACCCGATCAGGTGGAGGCTGGTGTCACGGGTGGTGAAAGAACCCACCTGAGGCAGAACAGAGGAGATAGAAGTTTATTGAAAAGACTGCAATGGTCCAGTGGGCAGGACAGCAAAGGAGAGGCTATCTGTCAGGAAGCAGAAGTAGGGGGCTGTAGTTAAGCTGAGGAAGTAAGGGGGTTTGGGAACATGTGGAAGTTTACGTTTGGGTACCTGTGCCTGGTTGTTAAGTAGCCCGTATTTTGAGGTGGGTCACCTAATGAGCCTGTTTGCGTTCAGCCTGGTGGTCACTGTTGGCCTTTTTACTGTACTCAGGTTTCCATTGCTCAAGCCTGTTGCCCAAAAGCAGCCTCTACAGTTTCTAGACCCAAGACTAACATTAAAGAGAATAGAATCCTGATATTGCTAACTGGCTTTGTAAGTCTGAATAAGTGAACTAACTTATCTGAATCTCAGTTTATTCATCTTCATAATGGGGTTATGAATTTGCATTTCATAAGGATGTTATAAAAACCAAATGGAATGATTTTGCAAATTTCCTAGTTTTAGGGCTTAGTGCAAAGTTAACTACTTCAAATTAGCATTGGAGACATGCTATTTATCTGACTTTGTAAGATAACAGTCATGTTTAACTACAAAATTATTTTGAATGCTGTTATAGGATTGAAAATGCTTTAAAAATAATAAAATACCATAAAACTATAAAATAAAATAAATCCTTGAGTTAAAATACAAAGAATTATTAT